TTTTGGGGTGTCTGTAAGCTTATTATGATTTTAGGCGCCTCTCTGCTAATGGGTGGGGTTGTGTTCCTGTCTTGCTAGTTATTTGGTATGGGGTGTCCAGCACTGGAACTTGCTGGTCGTTGAGTGAAGCTGGGTCTTAGCATTGAGACGGAGATCTCTGGGAGAGCTCTCGCCAGTTGATATTACGTGGGGCCTGGAGGTGCCTGGTGGTCAGGTGTCCTGAACTGAGCTCTCCCACCTCCGAGGCTCAGGCCTGACAGCCGGCTGGAGCACCAAGACCCTGTCAGCTACACGGCTGTAACATTATATCTAGTGGTAATGCAGACTAGAAGAGCTCTTCTGGAAACATTTGGCAGTTAAACATACACCTATCACATCTGGTTCCTAGGTACTTACTCAGGCTTAATTGTGAGAGGAGAGTGACTACCTCCTGCGCAGTAAGAAGGAATTTGGCAGGAGTTTGGGGATTGTTATATATCCTGTTTGTGTGGAGCTTACAAGAATCTGTGCATGTGTGGGAAATTCCCTGGCAGTCCAATGGTTAGGACTCCGCACTTTCACTGTTGAGGGCCCAGGTTTGATCTCTGGTTGGGGAACTCTGGAGAATCCAGCCTGGATGGGAATGGCAAGGCACCAGGGGCCACACACAACTGGCTCTTCCTGGCAGAGGGCTCCAAAGGATAAGCGATGCTCATTGCAGCCCTCAGCGGATTGCAAAGGAGGACGGGGTTCAACTGGGAAAGCAGCGTTGTCACTCCCGGAGAAGACAACAGAGCGCCCTCAGGAGTTTTCTCTTCAATTCTCTGCTGTAGGCAGCCGAGCGGACTACTTCAAATCTTAAGTTTACAGTTTTATGTTCTTTTGCTTTTGGTTTTATTTTGTTTTTGGTAACGAATGATGTTGAATACTACTGTTGCAGGTTGGACTTTCTGGAAGCAAATATTGAGATGGAGTTTGGGGAGCAAGATATTTATTAGGGACCAACATAAGTAAAGCGAAGCAGATTTATATATTTATTTTGTTTATTTATTTTTTGGCTGTGTTGGATCTTCGCTGCTGAGTGCGGGCTTTCTTTAGTTGTGATGAGTGGGGGCTACTCTTTGTTGCGGTGCACAGGCTTCTCATTGCGGTGGCTTCTCTTGTTGTGGAGCACAGGCTCTAGGCTCACGGGCTTCAGTAGTTGTGGCACAGGGCTTCAGTAGTTGTAGCTCATAGGCTCTAGAGTGCAGGCTCAGTAGTTGTGGTGCACGGGCTTAGTTGCTCTGCAGTGTGTGGGATCTTCCCAGACCAGGGCTTGAACCCGTGTCCCCTGCACTGGCAGGTGGATTCTTAACCACTGTGCCACCAGGGAAGCCCAAGCAGGCGGATTCTTAACCACTGCACCACCAGGGAAGCCCGGGAAGCAGAATTAGGCAAAGGCAGAAGTTAAACTGTGTTGCAGCCCAATGAAGCTGCCGCCAGCCTAGCAGAGAACACTGGAGTTAATATTGCCTGTCAGAGTGTCTGATACCAGGCCAGACTGGTCAGGCATTAAATCCCTGCCTTGCTCAGTCACTGGGTGTGGGCTGTCTTGGGAAGGGTGTGACCTAAGGGGAGGCCCCTCTCATTCATGTTTGAGTCCCAGGGTCTAGGAACAAGGCTTCTCATATGAGGTCCAAGGATAGCTTCAGGTTCTCATGAAATTTATAGCAAACCTGGAGGTGCATATGCATGTGTATGTTTTTCTGGGGAGAGGGTGCCAGGAATTCTCCACCCCCCAAATTGCTAAGAACCACAGGTTGGACAATGTCTAGCATATGGGCAGCTTGGTATCCATCTCCTGCATCAGTGTGTTATGGAGTGGGGAGAGGAAGGATACTCTGTGCTGAAGGAGACAGGATATGTAAAAGCCTGGCTGTCGGCGGTGGAAGGTGAGTTAAGTAACAGGTCTGTGTGGTAAACCAGTAGAAGCTCAGTTTGCTCAGAGAGGAAGATACAGTCTAGGGAAAAATAAGGTGGAAGAAGTAAGGTAGCATGAAATTGTGAAAAACCTTGACTGCCCCTGAGCCACTTATATTTTATTCTGATGCAATGAGGAGCTGAAGAGGTTTTTTGGCCAGGGAATGACACATTCAGATTAAATTCAGATTAAATTTTTTCTTTTCTTTTCTTTTTGCGGTACACGGGCCTCTCACTGTTATGGCCTCTCCCATTGCGGAGCACAGGCTCCGGATGCACAGGCTCACGGGCCCATGGCTCACGGGCCCAGCCGCTCCGCGGCATGTGGGATCTTCCCAGACCGGGGCACGAACCCGCGTCCCCTACATCGGCAGGTGGACTTTCAACAACTACGCTACCAGGGAAGCCCATTCAGTTGAGTTTTATAGCTGTGTGTAAGGCTTATCAGATGAAGAAGCAGGAAGACCATTTGTTTAGTGGATTATCAGTTACCCTATGAGGATTTAATAGAAGCTGGTGAGCTTCAGTGGAGTCCACCTTCAGGTGTGTCGAGGTTTGCCAGGAGGATTTACCAGGTTTACCAGGAGGGTTTATCAGGAGGGCGGTTCTATAACAAACACCATCTCTTCCTGAAGCTGCAGATTGACTCTAAATTAGATCCTCTTCTGCAGCCGGAGTGCTACAAGTCACAAGTGAAGTAAACATGGTCCCATTACCATCGCCAATCCAGCGATGAGCACCAGGCTCAGTTAACGCCTTTACTGCCTCTCGTTGCACCACTGTAATTTTCCCTTAACTGGTTTCCCTGCTTCCATTCTCTCCCAAGACAAATTCATCCATCCAAAATAGATTTTCTAAAACAAACCTGATCATGTCAACACTGTGCTTAAAATTCTTCCATGGTTCCCCATCCCCATCTAGAAAAAGCCTGTAACACAGAGTAAACAGGCTTTTGGGACTTGCCCCAGCCTCCTTGCCTTCCACTCCCCTTCCACTCCCCTGGTGCCTTCTGCACCAGTCAGGCCCACTCACTTCCTGATCCCAATCCCGATCCTGTCACTAATCTATCCCCCCCTAGCATACATGGTCCATTCTCCTTATTCTAGGCTTCCTGCTAGCCTGGGAGTGCCTACAGAGGAGGACTGTTGTTAGGTTAGCTTGGCAGTGAGGTTCCTGCTGTAGATAGGGGTATGTTTATTGTTCACAGCTTTTTTAAAAAGAAATTTATTTATTTATTTACTTTTGGCTGTTTTGGGTCTTCGTTGCTAGCCGCGGGCTTTCTCTAGTTGCAGTGAGTGGAGGCTACTCTTCATTGTGGTGTGCGGGCTTCTCATTGCGGTGGCTTTTCTTGTTGGGGAGCATGGGCTCTAGGCGCGCAGGCTTCAGCAGTTGTGGCACGTGGGCTCAGTAGTTGTGGCTCGCGGGCTTTAGAGCGCAGGCTCAGTAGTTGCTGTGCACAGGTTTAGTTGCTCCACGGTATGTGGGATCTTCCTGGACCAGGGCTCAAACCCGTGTCCCCTGCATTGGCAGGCAGATTCCCAACCACTGCACCACCAGGGAAGCCCTGTTCACAGCTTTTTAATTTGATAAATTACAAACATACAGAAATGATGAAAGAGTAATATAGTGAATACCTGAATACCGTCCACCTAGAGTCAATAAGTCAAAAACATTAGCATCATCCTTAACTCCTCCTGAATACTGTCCACCTAGAGTCAATAAGTCAAAAACATTAGCATCATCCTTAACTCCTCTCTTATGTACCTTATATTCTGTTCATTAACAATTCCTCGGCTTCTCTGGTGACGCAGTGGTTAAGAATCTGCCTGCCAATGCAGGAGACATGGGCTCGAGCCCTGGTTCAGGAAGATCCCACATGCCGCAGAGCAACTAAGCCCATGCGCCACATCTACTGAGCCTGTGCTCTACGGCCCGTGAGCCACAACTACTGAAGCCCGCACTCCTAGAGCCCATGCTCCACAACAAGAGAAGCCACCACTATGAGAAGCCCGTGCACCAGAACGAAGACCCAACACATCCAAAAATAAATAAGTAAAAGTAAATTTAAAAAAACACAAAAAACAATTCCTTTAACTTTTTCCTTCAGAATATATCCAGAATCCAAACACATCTCACCATCTGCTGTGCTGTGCTCTGATGGAGTCCAGCATCTCTGACCATGACCTTTAGCCTCCTCAAGGCTCCCTGCTTCGTAGTCTATTCTCAACCCGCAGAAAGAGGGATTCTATTAACTCATAAGTCAGACTATGTCAATCCCCTGCTCAGAACCCCAGAATAGCTCCCATCTACTTCAGAGGAGAGACTGATGTCCTTACAGTGGCACACAAAGCCCCGCTTGATATGCCAACATTACCTCCATATCTTCCTAACTCTGCTCTAGCCACAAAGGCCTCCAGGTGGTTCCTCAAACAGGCCAGGCACAGGCCATCTCATGGCTTTTGCATTCTTTTCTTTTGCCTGGAAGATCTCTCCCCCTCCCCCCATATCTATGGATATATCACTTCCTCAGCTTCTCAGTTCTTGAATCCAGTCACCTTCTCAGTGAAACTGTCCTTTACTCACCTAATGAAAATTGCAAATTCCTTGCCCCCCAATACTCTCTAATCCTTTTTCCAGATTTATTTTTCTTCATAGCAGTTATCACAACTTGATACACTATGCATTTTTCACTTATTTATCTTTGTTATGGCCTGTAAGCTCCACAAGAACAGGGACCTATGTGCTGTGCTAACAGCTGTGCCTCCAGCACCTGGAAGGGCGCCTGTCACATAGCAGAGCGCAATCGACTTCTGCGGAGTGAGTGGAGGAACGGGAGCTTAAGGGAGGAAACACTCAAGTCCGGGAAGACTTCCTGGAGGAGTAAGTCCACCACCCGCCGCCACTCCCAAACACCGCCCACGAGGCGTCCGGGCCCGCCCCGCTCCCTTAAGCCACGCCCATGAAGGCGGGCTGCGGCCGGAAGCACCTCCCCTCGGCGGAAGCCGGGCCTGGCAGGCGGTCTAGGCCCTCCTCCCGACCTGCCCCGGGCTCATGCCCCTCCTACCCGAAAGTGGGTGAAAGGTCGGCGGCGCCGCCGCCGCGCCTGGGGCAGTGGAGCGGGGACCCTGGGAACCGACAGGCACGGCGACTGACGGACGTACCATGGCAGACCAGGCGAAGCCCATTAGCCCGCTCAAGAACCTGCTGGCCGGCGGCTTTGGAGGCATGTGCCTGGTGTTCGTGGGGCACCCACTGGACACGGTCAAGGTGCGAGGATGCTGGGGCGCGGGCTGGAGGGAGGAGGCCCGGGCAGGGCGCGGAAAGTAGGGTCTTCCGCGAGGCTCGGTCTGGGATAGAAGCGGGGTCCGTGGGAGCTTCCGTGAGAAGTCTAGGGAATCTCCCTTTCGGGGGTCGGGGAAACTGTTCCTGCACCCCAGAGAGCTGGACGTTGCGGAGTGAGCAGCCTCTAACCGCCCACCAAGGGCTCTTGATTTAAAAAAAAAGTTCTCTGTTCGGAAGCCTCTTCTGATCTGGCGCCACTTCTTTGAGGATGGTAAAGAAAGAGCACCGCCCCAAAGCTCTGACTTCTGAAAACCCTAACATTATCAGCAAGGTTGAAAAAGGCATCTGTAAATCCCGCTTCAGGAAGAGAGCTAAAGACTGAGGCAAGGTTATTCCAGACATGTATTTTGACACATTCCTCTGGGCCCAGAGTGCTCCATCACTATCTCCTTTGAACCTTTCTTGACCATCTTCAGCCTGTCACCCCATGTTAGCCTGAGTGGTCTCCTGTGGGAAGCGATGATATACTCACTGACTGAGCTCCTTCCAGGGAAAGCAAGTGATCAGCTTTCCCAGGGCAAGGCTGATCCCCACAACAGCCTGGTGAGGAAGCCGTGGTCAGATTGAGGCTCCAGGAAGGGGGAAACTCATCAGAGCTTGTTCCCTGCTTATCCTCACATTATGCATCAACTCTTTCCCCTGCAACACTTTCAGCAAGGCCTTGCTGGAGACCAGAGTCCATACCCTGTGACTTAGCATTCAAAGCTTCATCCTAGTTTTCTAACGTTATTTCTGCACACACTTGGAGGAAATTGACAGATCATGGCCAGGGTGAGCCTGTAGGGAGCAGGCATGAACCCTGTGTAGGAGACTTATTGGAATGTTGGATTGGGTTTCCTCCACAGGGAAATTGCTTTGGGGACATTCTCCAGGCAAGTTTGGGCAGCAAGCTCTTTGCTGCCTTTCATCTAGGAGAGGATCTGGGGTCATTCTATCACAGGACCAGGATTAAAGCAACTGGGCTGGTTTGGGCACTGTGAAACACAAAATCAGATGTTTATTCAGTAATTGGTAAATGCCATGTGTGTTAGGGCTTCCCAGACAGTGGTCATTCTAAGCAGCACTGATGTAAGGGAGAAGAATTGTCTGGCCTCTCTACTCTTGATCTTGTTAGTTCTAGGCAGCTGGGGCCTCTCTTTAAAGAAGAACGAAACCCTGTTGCTCCCTAATACAAATGTTGCTCCTACCTCCATATCCTCTTGTCCTTCCTCCCCAATCAGATGTCATTCCCAGGAAGGGCCCGAGGACCTCTATACTGAAATGGAAATGACTGAAAATGCTCACTGCATTTTTTTTTTTTTTTTGCGGTACGCGGGCCTCTCACTGTTGTGGCCTCTCCCGTTGCGGAGCACAGGCTCCGGACGCGCAGGCCCGGTGGCCATGGCTCACAGGCCCAGCCGCTCCGAGGCATGTGTGATCTTCCCGGACCGGGGCATAAACCCGCGTCCCCTGCATTGGCAGGCGGACTCTCAAGCCACTGCATTTTTAATAGCCAGAAAGTCCCCTTTTAGCTTAAGCCAAAACCACAAATTGCCCACTACTGTCCTTTTGACCTCTAAGAGCCAGGTGGCCTCCAATCAAAGCTTGGCCTAGAGGCACTTTCACAGGTCCGAGGCGACTAACTGGTCTGGGAAGGCAAGAGGTGCAGCACTTCAGTTTGGAAAGGCTTTATGGCACGTGATGAAGGGCTGGCTGAGTTCTGACTGGAGAAGTAGGGGGACCCAGACATTCTGGGTAGGGGGAATGCAGGAGTGAAGGTGGATATAGGCTTGATAGTGGGAGCAGGCTGTAAAATAAGACCAGCCGTGGAGGACTTTAATGTTCTTGCTGGGCCTGGGTGGCGGATGTCATGATAAGACATGTGAGATTTATACAAAATCACAAAAAGGTATCAGTCAGAAGTTTTGGTCTATTTCTCTCTCTACTAACTTGGACAGGTTGTGCCTGACCATGGAGGATCTGAAGACCAAATAAGGGATTTTGGATGCAAAGCAGCGGGAGCCTCTAGACATTTCTACTGTTGTGTCCCATAAACTCCTCAGATATGCATGTCACCTCCATTGCCTAGAGAGTGAGTTCCTTAGTTTGGGACATAAGGCCTTAACAAAATCAAGAATGAGAAATTTAAAGTAATAGAGGAACAGCATGATGAAATGGTGTCTTGGAAAAGTTAGTATGATAGCAACCTGAGAAGAATTAGGAAGCAGAACTCAGAGCAGGAAAAATAGCAAGGAAAAAGACTGCAGAAGTATATAACTGGGTGTATCAGTTATCTCTGGCGGTGTAACAACTTATCCCAAAACTTAGTGGCTTAAAACAACAACAATAGGGACTTCCCTGGTGGTCCAGTGGTTGGGACTCTGTACTTCCACTGCGGGGGCCACGGTTCCATCCCTCGTCAGGGAGCTAGGATCCTGCATGCCGCACAGCATGGCCAAAAAATAATAATAATAACAAGTGTTATTATTAGGCGAGGATGTGGAGACCTCGGAACTCTTGTGCACTGTTGTTGGGAATGTAAAATTGTAGTGACTGTGGAAAACAGTATGCCAGTTCCTCAAAAAATTAAAAATAGGATTACTATATGATCCAGCAATTCCATTTCTGGATATATACCCAAAAGAATTGAAAGCAGGGTCTTGAAGAGATATTTGTACACCCCTGTTCATAGCAGCATTATTCACAATAGCTGAAACATGGGAGCAACCCAAGTGTCCACAAATGGAAGAATGAATAAGGAAAATGTGGCATATACATACAATGGGGTGTTATTCAGCCTTAAAAAGAAGGAAATTCTGGGGCTTCCCTGGTGGCGCAGTGGTTGAGAGTCCGCCTGCCGATGCAGGGGACACGGGTTCGTGCCCCGGTCCGGGAAAATCCCACATGCTGCGGAGCGACTGGGCCCGTGAGCCATGGCCACTGAGCCTGCGCTCCGCAATGGGAGAGGCCACAACAGTGAGAGGCCCGTGTAAAGCAAAAAAAAAAGAAGGAAATTCTGACCTTGCAACCACATGGATGAATACTGTAAACATTAGGCTAAGTGAATTAATTTACTAATTAATAAACTAATTCAGTTTTATAAGGCAGAAAGAATTCTGGATGGTGGTGACGGTTGCACAACGTTATGAATGTATTTAATATCACTGAACTGTACACTTAAAAATGGTTGAGATGGTAAATTTTATGTGTATTTTATGACAGTAAAAAAAAAAAAAAAACAACCCAAACTGGGGGGATTTCCCTGGTGGTCCAGTGGTTAAGACTCTGTGCCTCCACTGCAGGGGGCGCGGGTTCGATCCCTGGTCAGGGAACTTCCGCATGCCATGCAGTGTGGCCAAAAAAATAAAGAAATAAAAAATAAAATAAAATAGTTAAGGAAAAAAATGGGCAAAGGATCTGAATAGACATTTCTCCAAAGAAGATATACAAATGGCAATAAACACATGAAAAATATTCCACATCATTATCCATCATGAAAATGTAAATAAAAATCACAGTGAGATACCACCTAACACCCACTATGATGGCTATAATTCAAAATAAATAAATAACAGGTGAGGGATGTGGAGAAACTGGAACATTCATACAATGCTCTTTGGAAAACAGTCTGGCAGTTCCTGAAAAGGTTAAACATAGAGTTAGCATATGACCCAGCAATTCTCCTGTGATGGTTAATTTTATGTGTCAACTGGGCTGTGGGGTGTTCAGATATTGGTCAAACATTGCTCTGGGTGTATCTGTGAGGGTGTTTTTGGATGAGATTAGCATTTAAGGTAGACTAAGTAAAGTAGATTGCCCTCCCTAATGTGGGTGGCCCTATTCCAGTCAGTTGAAGGCCTCAATAGAACAAAAAGCTGAAACTCCTCCCTCCTGAGTGATTGAGCTGGGACATTGGTCTTTTCCTGCCTTTGGACTCAAACTGAAGCATTGGCTCTTCTTAGGTCTTGAGGCTGCCAGCTTTTTTTTTTTTTAACACCTGTATTGGAGTATAATTGCTTTACAATGTTGTGTTAGTTTATCTGCCAGCTTTTGAACTGGGCCTTGAACCATCAGCTCTCCTGGTTCTCAGGTCTTCAGACTTGAACTATCCTATTGACTTTCTTGGGTCTCCAGCTTACTGATTGCAGGTCTTAGGATTTGTCTGCCTCCATAATTGTGTGAGCCAATTCCTTATAACAAACAAACAAATAAATAAATCTACATGTCCTATTGGTTCTATTTCTCTGGAGAATCTTGACCAATACAATTATGCTTGGGTAATATAATATCCAAGAGAATTGAAAACATAATATCCACACAAAAACCTGCACACAAAAGTTTATAGCACCATTATTCATAATAATAAAAGTGGAAAAAATGTAATTTGTCATTATCTGATGAGCAGATAAACAAAACATGGTATATTTGTACAGTGGAATACTATTTACCCATAAAAAGTAATGAAGGACTGATATATTCTACAACATAGATGAACTTTGAACACATTATGCTAAGTAAAAGAAGCCAAGTGTGAAAGACCACATATTGTACGATTTATTTATATGAAATATACAGAATAGGCAAATCCATAGAGATGGAAGCTATATTAGTAATTGCCAGGGGCTGAGAGAAGAGGGGAATGGGGAGTGACTACTAATGGGTATGGTGTTTCTTTTTGGGGTGATGAAAATATTCTAAAACTGATTATAATGAAGGTTGCACAACTCTGCAAATACACTAAGAAGCACTTAACTGTATACTTTAAATGGGTGAATTTTATGGTATACGAATTATATCTTAATAAAGCTGTTTAAAAAAACCCAATACTGAACCAAAGACCCTCTCCTTCAACCAAAAGCAACAAAAAGATGCTGGCCAGGACTGTACTAATCTGAAGGATTGGCTTCTGTGTGGTTCATTCACAGGCTGGCAGTTAGTGCTGGCTGTTGTCAGGAGGCCTTCTTTCCTCCACACATGACCTCTTCAGACTGCTTGAGTATCCTCATAACATGGTGGCTGACTTTCCCCAAAGCAAATAACCTGAGATGAAGACAGGCAGAAGCTGACCTTTCTGTCACCTAGCCTTGGAGAAGTCACATAGCATCAAAACCACTACATTCTGTTCGATAGAAGTGAGTCACTGAGTCTGGCCCACATCCAAGGGGAGGAGAATTAGGATTAACTTTTTTTTTTTTTTTTTTTGCGGTACGCGGGCCTCTCACTGTTGTGGCCTCTCCCGTTGCGGTGCACAGGCTCCGGACGCGCAGGCTCAGCAGCCATGGCTGACGGGCCTAGCCGCTCCGCGGCATGTGGGATCTTCCCAGACCGAGGCACGAACCCGTGTCCCCTGCATCGGCAGGCGGACTCTGAACCCCTGTGCCACCAGGGAAGCCCAGGATGAACTTTTGAAGGGGAAGAGTATCAAAGAGTTAGTGGGCATATTTGAAAACCATCACACTGGGTAAGAATAGGTGAGGACTTGGCCTAGGAGAAGACTTCAGATGGAGAGAGGAAGAAATTAGGATTCTGGAAGACTCTTGAAGGAACTCTCCAAAAGCCTTGGTGCCTATGTGAATAAGAGGAGCAGAAGCAACAGGAAGTGGTCGGATGCTAGAGTTTCAAATCCTGAGAAAGGGTAGCCTGATGGCTCTGGCACAAATGGGTGATTCATCAAAAGGATGAGATTCTGGAGGTGATATGAGTAGGGACAGCTTCTCCAGGCAGTTTGAAATGTAGCCCAAAAGGTGGGGAGAGAAGGTCTGAAGATGGCTGAGTAAAAGTCATCACTGAGCAGAAGCTGAAGCCCTGGAATCTGAGTTTTCTAAAAGGGATAGTGGAACAGATGAGTAGGGTACTTAGCCTTGGAGGACGCCTGGAGTAGAAAAGGAGACAAAGGAAGGAGTACCAAGAAGGGAGGTTTAAAGAGAGACAGTTTGAAGCATTGGATACACCAAAAGGTGGAGAAGGATGAGGACCAAGAAAAGTAGGATCAAATCCACCTCACTCCAAAATATCTTTGTTGCGCACCTTACCTAACCACCGACAAGGCACTTCAAATGGGTGTGGAGAGTGCCTAGAGCTGAACTGAGCTTTGCATTCACTGGCACATGATTTGAACTCACTAAACCCAGCCTCCTCATTTGTAAACTGGTAGTACTTATTCCACTGGATCATTGTGGGATCCATTAGGTAAGAAATAAATAGCAAAAGTAAGTGGCTGAGGAAATCAGAGGAACTGTGACTCTCTCCAAAAGCATGCTACTAATGACTTGTGAGTACAGGGTTTGAATAAACTGGAGGAAAGAGAAGTCTGAATCCAGCAGATAAAGTGAATGCTGAAGACATGCACAGAGGTGCAGCTTTCTCTGTTAAGAGTTTAGCAGACAGTTGGGCCATTGCTACCGACAGGCAGTTCTGATTCTGGGAAATGACTGTATTTTAACTTCTGGTTTCAGGTCCGACTGCAGACGCAGCCCCCAAATTTGCCTGGACAGCCTCCCATGTATTCTGGGACCTTTGACTGTTTCCGGAAGACTCTTATGAGAGAGGTACGGAATCTTGGTGCTGGGCATTTCTCTTATTCAGAGGAACAGTTTCACAGGGTTGATTTATTACTTCTCTGGGGGATAGGGTGACTTTGCATAGTTCTCTTGGAGGTCTAGCCCACAGCTGTGGCTCTCTCACCGTGCCATCCTATGCCCTCCTATTGTCATCGCTCTGGAGTCTTTGATAGTTCCAGCTACTGTTTTATGTGAATGACTGAAGCTAATAAAATGGTTCTAAAATTGTTCTCTCTTTTGGAAGGCACAATTTAGACCACAGGGAATTCATGAGGAATAGTTGGAGGCGTGAAATAGAAGAAAATGCAAATCTGGATCAGTCAGTTTGACAGGGATCAGTGTCAGAAGTTCACATAAAATGTGGAGGAAGAGTCAGCCAGTCTGAGGAACAGTGAAAGAAGCTAGCAGAGTCTTCAAACCCCTAGACTAAACTAACTAAAGGAAACTAAATTGCTTTGAGGTTATTGAATTACATAGTAATTTTTCAGATATTTCTTAAAGTGAAAACATGGGATTTTAAAAAAGGTTTAATTACTAGTGATGTTTATTTCTGACTTCATTAGCACATATGTGACAAGACCTTGTTGAGAACTTTTCCTTTGTTTCCTAAAATATAACTCTAATATGAATAAATATATATGTAGTGTTTATTAAATATACAGAAACTGAGAAGCAGGTGTCACCCAGATAAAGAGGGGATGCTGGTGATTGATGGACTCGGTCTGGGAGGAAAAGTTGTTCCCAGGGTTCCTGCAGGACCCAGGCATGGGAGGAAGATTTTGAGGTGGAGTCTCCCCAACCACCCATGCGTGAGACGGTGCTGCCTTTTCTTCTGTAAGGCTCTCTTCCTTTCATCAGCCCAGAATGGAGTCTGATCGGTGTCCAGTGGAGTCTTTGGGCTTCAAGTCAGCTAAGAGTTCTCTGCCTTTACAGAGAGGCAGGATTACATGCCTCTTGGTCAGCAAATGTTATTGAGGACCTATTCAGCGCCTGGGCAGTGTGCTGGGTGCTGGAGGCCTGGTGAGAATGGCTCATATAAACCCAACTCTCTGCAGAGTTGAATAGGCTTCCTTAGTTTATGTTTGTGCTTGTCTCTGGGTTTTGCTGTGCCAGATTGAGCTCTCTGTTTTCTGGTGCTGCCAGACGGGTCTTGGTTGTGCTGCATGGAACTGGGTAGGCCAGACAGTGGAAGGAAGGCTAGAGGAGTTGTTGGGAGGCGTGGGTTTGGCCCTCAGGCCTTGGGCATCCTCTCAGCCCAGGTGGGAAACTGTGGGAGGGGCTTTTGGAGGGCTTTGTCACCTGCTGCTTTTGCAGATCCTTCTCAGAACTTTCTCTTTCTATTCACCTTTCCTGTTTACCTCCTCTGCACTTTGTCCTTGGTGAGTCTGCTTACAGCCTGTAGCAGTGCTAGACCTTTGCAGGATCTGGGAGGAGTACTGACGGGTACAGTTGTGCCCCTTGAGTTCTGGAAAGAAGATGGGTTGTGAATGGTCAGGGTCTGTAGCGAGGCAGGTTCTCCAGCCTAGGTCTGTGGACCCTCTCAGTGTGCAACTCCACCCTGTTTCTCCTGCTACTTTCTGTAGGGAGCAACTTTAACACTTTTTTGTGTTTTGTTTTAAAAATTGTCCCCTATTTGTATTAAAATGATACAAGCACTTAGTTTGCTACTGAAGGACTTGTAACAAAGTAGCCCTCCCACCCCAATTCTCTAGAGGTTATTTTCAGCTTTCTCAGTTATTAATGCTGTTTTCTACCTAGATGCATACGTGTATTTTATACATTTAAAAATGTGTTTTAAAACTAACACAGGGACTTCCCTGGTGGTGCAGTGGTTAAGAATCCACCTGCCAATGCAGGGGACATGGGTTCCAGCCCTGGTCCGGGAAGATCCCACATGCCGTGGAGCAGCTAAGCCCGTGCGCCACAACTACTGAGCCTGCGCTCTAGAGCCTATGAGCCACAACTACTGAAGCCCGTGCACCTAGAGCCCATGCTCCACGACAAGAGAAGCCACCACAATGAGGAGCCCGCACATGGCAACAAAGAGTAGCCCCCGCTCGCCACAGCTAGAGAAAGCCCAGGCGCAGCAACGAAGACCCAATGCAGCCAAAAATAAATAAATAAATTTATTTATTTTTTTAAAAATATAACTAACACAACATTGTAAAGCAATTATACTCCAATTAAAAAAAAGAGAGAAAAAATGTGTTTTTGCTACCTATTTGTGGTAGATGATTTTAACTCTTGCATTCCTTATCACCTTTCTGCCCTGCCCATATAATTTTATCATACTTTGTGGTTTAGTACAATTCGGTGTTTTCATGATTACAACTTTATATGTGTTTTTCTCTGTTAACTAAGTAATGTTCTATGATGTGCATTTCATTTCTTGTACAACTTTTTGTTTTTCTTGAGGTTGGGTTAAAAATTGCATCAGTTTCGTTTGCTTGTGTTTCTTTGAATCTCTGCCTCTGTCATCCTGTACCCTAAATGCCCTGTAGAATACCTTTTTGTTTGGTTTTCCACACTGCCTAAATAGTTATAATCTGTTGTTCCAATGTTTATTGTTTTGCTTTGTTCTTCTTGGAAAAAACAAACTCTTCCTGGAGTCCTCTATCCTCATACTCCCACGTAGACTGGTTTCTTCCCAGGCCCACTGTACCAGACACCATCCTGGAAATCCCCTTCATCTCTCTTGGGCCAAACTCGTGGTCTCCTGGGTCCCAGATCTTCCTCTTCCTTGATTTACTAACTTGTTTGGTTGGGATATCTATTTGTCTATTTATTGGCTACTACATAGTTGCTTTCATTATCAAGCTGTACTAGTGAAAATTGATGTGCAGTCTTGCTATTGTCTTTAACAATAAAAACCCCATGTCTTTTTTTTGGAGGGGCACACTGGGCGGCTTGAGTGATCTCAGTTTCCCGACCAGGGACTGAACCTGGGCCACAGCAGTGAAAGCCTGGAATCCTAACCACTAGGCCACCAGGGAACTCCCCTCATGTCTTAATACTTGGGAAATACAAAAATTTCGTACACCTCTAATGTCACCCCAAAGAAGTCACGTTGTACATTCTGTTTTGTAGCCTGCTTTTTATTTATTTATTTATTTATGGCTGCATTGGGTCTTCATTGCTGCATGTGGGCTTTCTCTGGTTGTGGCGAGTGGGGGTTACTCTTCGTTGTGGTGTGTGGGCTTCTCATTGTGGTGGCTTCCCTTGTTGCAGAGCATGGGCTCTAGGCACGCAGGCTCATTAGTTGTGGCTCGTGGGCTCTAGAGCACAGGCTCAGTAGTTGTGGCGCACGGGCTTAGTTGTTCCACAGCATGTGGGATCTTCCTGGACCAGGGATTGGACCAGGGATCGAACCAGGGCTCGAACCCATGTCCCCTGCATTGTTAGGCAGATTCTTAACCACTGCACCACCAGGGAAGTCCCTGTAGCCTGCTTTTTTTTCACTTAGTAGTCTCTTCTCATGTTACAATGTGATTTTATGGCTATGTGATAGTCAATTTATGGAATTCCCATAATGTGTCTCAATCTCCTATTTGAGAATTTTTAGGTTCATTCCAGAATTTTGCTACTTAATAAATTCCTGATGTCATTCTTTTCTATATCTAAGTATTTCCTTAGAATACATTTCTAGACAGAGAATTTTCTGATGAAAGTGTAAGCTACGTATTTCCAGATTGCCTTCCAGAATAGGAGCTGTTTTCAGTTTCTCCAGCAGTGTATAAGAAGACAACTATTTCTGATAAATGTGGGAGTATTCTTCCTTTTAAAAGCTCTCCTTGCTTGGAGGGGAGGTGAGGGAAGGAGGCCACAGGTCAGAGGACACACTGCTTCCCTGTTTCAGTGATGTAAAAGTTAGCTGTGTCTGTAAACAGCTTCCACTTCTGTGATTCCTTGCAGGGCATCATGGGTCTATATCGGGGCATGGCCGCCCCCATCATTGGGGTCACCCCCATGTTTGCCGTGTGCTTCTTTGGGTTTGGTTTGGGGAAGAAACTGCAACAAAAACACCCAGAGGATGTGCTCAGGTGAGTACTTACAAGCCTGGAGGACTCAATGCTGTTCTGCCTGGTGGTGTGATACAGGTTAAGGGAAAGAACCTTGGCTGACAGGCAGTGGCTGTCCTCCTGGGTCCCCAGGGCTAGCTCCTGGTTGTTCCACGTGAGGGAGGTACTTGAGTTTTCCTTTGCCCTGTGAACCAAAATGGAAAAAGAAAAACTCAGATCCCTCCCCCACCCCCTTATTAGGTTGTCATAATTTCTTCTGTGAGGTAGTATCGCTTAACTCCACAGCATTGGGAGGTCTGAATGCTAAAATGTGTGTAAAATGCCATGAAGGTACCTGGTGCTGCAGTAATGACAGCAGCGGCCTTGTTTCCCATCACCTGGTTGGGAGAAGGGAAGGTTCCAACTTTTGTTTTACTTCTTTTTTTTTTTTTAATTATTTACTTACTTATTTTTGGCTACATTGGGTCTTCGCTGCTTCACGCAGGCTTTCTCTAGTTGCGGTGAGAGAGGGCCACGCTTCATTGTGGTGTGTGGGCTTCTCATTGCAGTGGCTTCTGTTTTTGCGGAGCACGGGCTCTAGGCATGCAGGCTTCAGTAGTTGTGGCACACGGGCTCAGTGGTTGTGGCTCTTGGGCTCTAGAGTGCAGGCTCAGTAGTTGTGGCACACGGGCCTAGCCGCTCCGTGGCATGTGGGATCCTCCCGGACCAGGGCTCGAACCTGTGTTCCCTGCATTGTCAGGCGGATTCCTAACCACTGCACCACCAGGGAAGCCCTTCATTTTAATAACATAATTATTTCAGATATTGGTTTCTCTGGGTTTTTAAAAAATTTAATTAATTAATTAATTAATTTATTTGGCTGCATTGGGTCTTTGTTGCTGTGCACGGGCTTTCTCTAGTTGTGGCAAGCGGGGGCTACTCTTCTTTGCAGTGCACGGGCTTCTCATTGCGGGGGCTTCTCTTGTTGTGGAGCACGGGCTCTAGGCGCGTGGGCTCAGTAGTTGTGGCGTGCAGGCTTCAGTAGTTGTGGCATGCAGGCTCAGTAGTTGTGGCTTACGGGCTCTAGAGTGCAGGCTCAGTAGTTGTGGCGCACGGGCTTAGTTGTTCCACAGCATGTGGGATCTTCCCGGACCAGGGCTTGAACCCGTGCCCCCTGCATTGGCAAGCGGATTCTTAACCACTGCGGCACCAGGGAAGTCCCTGGTTTCTCTGTTAAAGTGAAATAAATTAGTGTATTTCCTTTCAGTAAACTTTAAGTTAGATTTGGGTATGAAGAGGCAGATGAGGCAGAATTATAGTTCAGAATTTACAAAGTAGTTAATGAAAACAGGCTTCTTGGGATGCAGGGGAATTCTGAGTTGAAACATGGAATGACAAGGCACACTCAGTCTGAGCCGTGCAGGCTGACAACTCCTGGGAGTGGCTGCAGGCAGCACAGGACCCTGGCTAGGCTTGGGATTGGGAGCTCAAGGGAGGCAGCCCAGGGTGCCATGTGGTTGTTTTCTGTCACTACTTCAGGCCACAGCAGGCTGAGTAAGGGTCTGGACATAGATAGAAATGCTCATAATGTGAAACTCTATTTTTGGAGTCCTTGTGACCCTCTGAATGTGACCAGCTTCTATAAAAAGCCACAGGTGGCCCCAAATGTGGGTGTGTGGGGCTTCCTTTTGAAACTGTGTTTGACTGTTGGTAGTCCAAATGTCCTATGGACACATGTCCTCTTTGAGCACCTGGTCTTTTAGCTCATGTGCCAGCTCACACGGGCCATGCACAAGAACCCCCGTGGGGTCACTGCTAGTACTTCAGCCTTTAGGTTGTATTCCCTATATTATGGTGTCAGTCCTCAGAGAAGCACCCTTCCTGCTTAAGCAAAGGTTGAGACACTCAGGTTCCTGCCCCCATAATCCTGCCGTGCTCTGAATCCTGAATGTCAACCCTGCCACCTTCCCCTCCCTGCAGTAGTGTTTGGGGACAGTATGGAAAGGAACATTACCAGGACCTCGGGTCCAGCACTCACAGATGCTTCCCTCATGTGGGGGTGAAGGGTGGCAGAATGGGCCACCCATGTAGGGTGTCTGCATGGTACCCTGTGCACACATAGACCCTGTTCAGAGGAAAGTCCTCAGTCCCAGGAGATGGAGGTATGTCCAGCCTAAGGTCTGGGCATACATGGAAGAACATATGTTGGTCTCATGAGGGGAAGTTTTGTTGCTGAGAGGACTCCTCTTGGGGACAGCAGTGTGGACTGAGACTGTAAAGGAGGCCATGCATGAAAGCAAGTCTCCTGACTGTTGAACAGTCAGCTTGTGTGCTGGGCTTGCATGCCTGAGGTAGTTGTGTGAGTGCCTGGAAAAAACAGGACCATTGAGACTGGTGCCCTGGAAGGAAGGACCCGAAGTGGATGTCTCCCTTTCCCCATTTGACATCTGTTCTCTGGGTTTTGGGCTCCTTGTAGTGTGGGACAGGCCTGAAGGCTCAGCTATCAGAGGCTTGGGGTTAGGAGGGGCCTGCGGCCCAGGCAAGAAAGTGAAGTTTTTCAACAACATTTGCTAAATTGTGGGGACACTATTGAAATGCTAATTGTAGCTCTGTACTCCACTGCCTCCAGACCAGTCTGGTATAATCTTAGAAAGAAAAGGAGATGCCAGAGGTGGGACAGGCCGTGACACCAGGAGCCTCCAAATATTCAATGTGGTTCATTCTGTGAGGACCATGGTGAGGATCCATATCTCTGGCCACTGGGGGACTATTCCCTGCATGGAAGGCCACAGGACCCATCATGTCTGTGGGTACCATCCCTGACTGGGCCCTTCCCAGCATCTTACAGCACATTCCTCACAACTGGCCTGGCTGGCCCCCTTAGCCTGTGGAAGTGGCCACAGCCATTCCTCCGGCCTTGACACCGTCCTTTGTGAATCTTGGCTTAAAATGTTCTCAGGCCCTTGGTGATCCAGAGGAGGCGAGATTGGAGGGGAACTGGGGTTGATTGAGGTCTGCATTCTGGGTTAGAGGCTTTTTTCCGCAACAACCTTGAACTTTACAGATCAAGGCTCAGAGAGGCCTGGAAACTCGTCCATAGTCACTGTGCATGGCAGGCCGGGGAGGAAACTTCTCCCATGGGTGAGGCCATCTGAGTGTGCATGTGGGCCTCGTGACCAAGCTCATATTGCTCTTGGCACTGAGACCCCTGCCTTGGGAAATTTGATGTCAGAATATACCTAGACCTTGGGTTTTGTGTGAAATATGCTTTATTTGTTCTGGACTTCTGCCCAGTCCAAGTACTTATTTTTTCTTTCAAAGTCCTCTTTGCTGGGATTGCCTCTGTTCTGGGTGGTTAGTCACAGGTTCTTGCCTCTCGTTTTTTTTTCAATATAGCTACCCCCAACTATTTGCAGCTGGGATGTTATCTGGTGTATTCACCACGGGAATTATGACCCCTGGAGAACGGATCAAGTGCTTGTTACAGGTGAGGGTGTGATCTGGGGTGGGGGGATATGATTTGGGGGGAGGTGGCTAGCTTTTTCCATTGGGTATACAATTTTGTGTGGATGTTTATGTCCTTTCACCCTTTATAAAGACTTCAGGTCAGGTGTGCAAAACAGTTTCAAGGTTTTCAGGAACATGGAAGCAATCGTAGTAGAATCAAGAACCAGGACAGTGTAACAAATCAAATGTCACACCTGTGACGGGTGAGCTCAGACTTAACCACCCTAATTAGCAGCTACTTCAGGAACTCTGAAAGGTAAGTCATGTCTCATCAGAGGTGGAAGGGAGGCTGCTCCTGCCTAACATGTTAGGTCTCTGCCATTTGCCCAAAGGCTCAGTGCCCTTAAAGTGTCTGTCTTGTTCCCAGGCCAAGGGTGTGAACTGACTACCTGCCTTACCACACAGGGCTCCTTTTTAAAAAAGTGTTACTGCTTTTTTCTTCTAATGGCTGAAGCAATTTAACACACAGTCTTTACTAGAAAAATTTTGGTAATGCAGAGAAGCACACAGAAAACAATGTATTTATCACCCATGATACTACCCCACTGTTATGCTTTCTGTGTGAATTCTTCTAGTCTTTTTGGTAAACTTGTATTAAAAAAAGTTATCTTTTGAAATAAAATTGGGGTCACATATTGCAATAGTTTTGTAACCAGTTTTTTTCATTTGATATGTCACAATATTTTTGTGATTTTTTTTCTCAAGCGTCATTTTCTGTATTTTATTTCAATACATGGCTGTCATTTACCCAATAATACCTTATCTGGGGACATGACAAATTATATGCCATAGTGAAGATCTTTGTAAATAAGTCTCTGCATGTGTTCCTGATTATTTTCTTAGGATAAATGTCTAGACTTGAAATTAGTATGATTAAAGGTAGGTACTTATTTTTTTTAAGGTATGTACTTTTTAAAAAGGTTTTTAATGCATTTTACTAAATGGCCCTCCTATAAAAGTCTGTCATTTTCTATTCCTGTCAAAAGTATAAGAGCTCTTACTTCCCAGCAGATTCTGTGGCATCTAATTTACAATCTCTGCTAGTCTGATGGGTGAAAAATTTGCATTGTTTTAATTTTTCTTGCTTTTAATTGTCGGTGGGGTTAATTTTTTTGATGCATATTAGCTGTTTGTATTTTTCCTTTGTGAAATGCCTATTTGTGTTCTTTGCTCATTTGTTTGTTTTTCTATTATAAAAGCTTTGGACATGTTTGAATTTATTATTTTGTTTTATTTATTTATTTTTGGCTGTGTTGGGTCTTCATTGCAGCGCAGGCTCTCTCTAGTTGCTGCGAGCAGGGGCTACTCTATTGCGGTGCACGGGCTTCTCATTGTGGTGGCTTCTCTTGTTGCAGAGCACGGGCTCTAGGCACGCGGGCTTCAGTAGTTGCAGCACACGGGCTCAGTAGTTGTGGCACGCGAGCTCTAGAGTGCAGGCTCAGTAATTGTGGCACATGGGCTTAGTTGCTCTGCAGCATGTGGGATCTTACCGGTTCAGGGATCGAACCCGTGTCCCCTGCATTGGCAGGCGGATTCTTAACCTCTGTGCCACCAGGGAAGTCCCCAATTTATTATTTTTTAAAATTTTTATGCAATTTTTAAAGGTTACACTCCATTTACAGTTATTACAAAATATTGGCTGTATTCCCCAAGTTGTACAATACATTCTTGTAGCCTGTCTTACACCCAATAGTTTGTGCCTGTCACTCCCCTACCCCTAAAACCTTTGGACATATTAAGGTTATTAATTTCTTATCATATTTGGCAAGTCTTTTTCATGCTTTGCATTTGTCATTTAATTTTGTGCATTTTTTAAATTAAATTTTTTATTTTGAGATACTTATAGATTCACATACAGTTGTAAGAAGTAATACAAAGGGAAATAAAGAAATAAATAAAACAAAAGGATCCCATGTACCCTTTACTCAGTTCTTCCACAGAGGTAATATATTGTAAAATTATAGTACAATATCGCAACCAGAATATTGACATTGTTACAGTCAAGATACAGAACAATTCCATCATGCCAAGGATCCTTCATGTAGCCCTTTAATAGCCACATTCACTTCTCATACCCCACTCCAGTCCTTAACCACCCCAGCAACCACTAATCTGAATTCTATAAGCCTGTAATTTCAAGACTTATATAAATGGAACTATACAGTATGTAAACTTTTCAGATTGGCTTTTTCAACTCAACCTAATTTTCTGGAGATTCATACAGATTGTTGCTTATATGAATAGTTCATTCCTTTTTAGTAGTCCATGGTGTGGATGTACTAGAAATATGTTTAACTTTTCATCCATTGAAGGACATCTGGGTTGTTTTCAGTTTTTGGCTATTATAAATAAAGATGCTATAAACATTCATGTACAGAGGTTTTTCTGAGAAAATCAGTCTTCATTTCTCTGGGATAAATGCCCAGGAGTATAATTGCTGAGTCATGTGGTAGTTGCATGTTTAGTGGGGGTTTCTTTGGGTTTTTTTTGCCACGCCGCGCCAGCATGTGGAATCTTAGTTCCCCCATCAGGGATCAAACCTGTGTACCCTGAAGTGGAAGCATGGAGTCTTAACCACTGGATCTCCAGGGAAGTCCCATGTGTGTTAGTTTTTAAAGAAACTACCAAACAGTTTTTTCAGAGTAGCTATATCATTTTACATTTCCACCAGCAATATATGAGTGATCCAGTTTCTCTGCATCCTCACCAACATTTGGTGTTGTCACTGTTCTTAATTTTAGCCATTCTGATAGGTGTGTAGTGATATCTCATTTAATTTGTATTTTCCTAATAGCTGAGGATGTTGAACATCCTTTCCTGTGCTCATTTGCTATATGAATATCCTGTTTGGTGAAATGTTTGTTCATGTTTTGCCCATTTTCTAATTGGATTATTTGTTTGTTTGTTTGTTTGTTTTGTGGTATGTGGGCCTCTCACTGTTGTGGCCTCTCCCGTTTGCGGAGCACAGGCTCCGGACGCGCAGGCTCAACGGCCATGGCTCACAGGCCCAGCTGCTCCGCAGCATGTGGGATCTTCCTGGACCGGGGCACGAACCTGTGTCCCCTGCATCGGCAGGCGGACTCTCAACCACTGCGCTACCAGGGAAGCCCATTTGTTTTTTTTATTATTGAGTTTTGAGAGTCCTTTTTTCTAGATACTAGTGCTTTGTCAGATATGTGGTTTGCAAATATTTTCTCCCAGTCTATAGTTTGTCTTTTCATCCTCTCAACAGAGTCTTTTGAGCAAACATTTAAAATTTTGATGAAGTCCAGTTTGTTAATTTTTCTTTTATGGATTGGGTTTTGGGTGTTTGGGGCATCAGGTCTTAAGAACTCTTTACCTAGCCTGCAATCCCAAAGATTTTCTAATATGTTTTTTCCAAAAGTTTTATCTATAGTTTACCTTTTACATTTAAGTCTGTGACTCCATTTTGAGTTAATATTTGTATTATGTATGAAAATTAGGTCAGAGTTGTTGTTTTTTTTCTTTTCTCTAGGGCTGTCCAATTGCACCATACCATTTGCTGAAGAGACTTATCTTTCTTCCACTGAATTGTGTTTGCATCTTTGTTAAAAGTCAGTTGAGCATATTTGTGTGGGTCTACTTCTGGGTACTCTAGTTTCTTCCATTGATTTATGCATCTGTCCCTTCACGAATACTACACAGTCTTGATTAGTATAGCCATATACTAAGTCTTGAAATTGACTAGACTGATGCCTCCCACTTTATTCTTTAAAAAAAAAATGGGGACTTCCCTGGTGGTGCAGTGGTTAAGAATCCGCCTGCCAACACAGGGGACACGGGTTTGAGCCCTGGTCCGGGAAGATCTCACATACCTCGGAGCAACTAAGCCCATGCACCACAACTGCTCAGCCTCTGCTCTAGAGCCTGAGAACCACAACTACTGAACTCGTGTGCCACAACTACTGAAGCCTGTGCTGCTTCACAACAGGAGAAGCCACCGCAATGAGAAGCCCCGCGCACCGCAACGAAGAGTAGCCCCCGCTTGCCGCAACTGGAGAAAGCCCGCGTGTAGCAATGAAGACCCAACACAGCCAAAAATAAATAAATTAATTAATTAATGAAAAAAATTGTTCTAGCTATTCTAATTCCTTTGTATTGGGTTGGCCAAAAAGTTCACTCGGGTTTTTCTATAACATCTTACAGAAAACTTTTTGGCCAACCCAATATTTCTATGTAAATTTTAGGGTAATTTAGAAAATTGAGAAAAATCTTGCTGAGATTATGTTAAACCTATAGGTCAATTTGGGTAGAATTAACACATTATTTTGAGTCTTCCAATACATGGACATGTTATATCTCTCCATTTATTTAGAACTTTAATTTCTTTCATCAGCATTGTGTAGTTTTCAGCATATAAGCTCTTAATGTGTTTTCTTATATACCTAAGTGCTTCTCTCTTAATTTGACTTTGTAAAATGGCATTGTAAATGGTATTATAATTTTAATTTTGTTGTCTACATTTTCATTGCTAGTTTGTAGAAATACAATAAATTTTTGTATGTTAATCTTGTATCATGTGAACCTTCCTGAATGCCCTTATTAATTCTAGGATTTTTTTTGGGTAGGTTCCTTGGGATTTCCTATGTAGATAATCATGTTATTTGCAAATAGGGACAGTTTTATTTCTTCATTTCTAATCTATTTACCTTTTATTTCCTTATTTCACTGGCTAGAATTTCCAGTACTGTGTTGAATAAGAGTGATGAGAGTGGATATTTTTACCTTGTTCCCAATCTCATGGGGAAGTGTTCACTATTTCACTGTTAAGTATGATGTTAGGTGTAGTTTTTTGTTTGTTTGTTTAGTTTTTTTGGCCGCACCACGCTGCATGCAGGATCTTAGTTCCCTGAACAGGGATGGAACACGGTGCCCCCTGCAGTGGAAGTGCGGAGTCTTAACTACTGGACCACCAGGGAGGTCCCAGATGTAGTTTTTTTGATAGATGCTCTTTATCAAGTTGAGAAAGTTACCTTCTATTCCTCTTTTTCTGAGAGTTTTCTCGTAAATGGATATTGACTTTTGTCAAATTCTTTTTCTTCATTTATTAATGTGATCATGTGATTTTTCTCCTTTAACCTCTTATACGGTGAATTACATCAATCGGTGTTTGAATCCTGAACGAATTTTGAATTGCTGGAATAAACCCCCCAGCTTGGTCATAGTTTATAATTCTTTTTATATACTGCTGAGTTCTATTTTCTTATATTTTGTTAAGTATTTTTGCATCTATAGTCATGAGAGATACTAGTCTGTCAGTTATTTTTCTGTGTTGTCTTTGTCTGGTTTTGATATCAGAATAATGCTGTCTTCATAAAATGAATTGGAAATTGTTCCCTCTTCTATTTTCTGAGAGGGATTATGTAGAATTGGTGTTAATTTTCCTGTAAACATTTGGTAGAATTTTATAGTGAAACCATATAGGCTTGGAGATTTTGGGGGAGGAATTATTAAATTATGAATTCAATTTTCTTAATAGTTACAGGGCTATTCAAATTACTTATTTCATATTGGGAAAATTGTGGTAGTTTTTTTTTTTATATTTTATTTATTTGGTTGTGCCCGTTCTTAGTTGCGGCAGGCGGGCTCCTTAGTTGTGGCTTGCCAGCTCCTTAGTTGTGGCATGTGAACTCTTAGTTGCGGTTGCATATAGGATCTGGTTCCCTGACCAGGGATAGAACCTGGGCCTCCTACACTGGGAGCACGGAGTCTTATCCACTGCGCCACCAGGGGAGTCCCTGTGGTAGTTTTTGGTTTTGTTTTTTTATCTAAGTTGTCAAATGTGTGTGTGTGAAGTTCTTTGTAGTATTCCCGTATTGTCCTTTATACACTGGCAGATTCTGTGGTGTTATCTTCTGTTTTATTCCTGGTATTAATAATTTGTAGGGCTTCCCTGGTGGCACAGTGGTTAAGAATCCACCTGCTCATGCAGGGGAAACGGGTTTGAGCCCTGGTCCGGGAAGATCCCACATGTCGTGGAGCAACTAAGCCCATGCGCCCCAACTACTGAGCCTGCACTCTAGAGCCACGAGCCACAACTACTGCAGCCCTCGTGCCTAGAGCCTGTGCTCCTCAACAAGAGAAGCCAGTGCAATGAGAAGCCTGCACACCACAACGAAGAGTAGCCCCCGCTTGCCACAACTAGAGAAAGCCTGCGTGCAGCAGCGAATACCCAACACAGCCAAAAATAAATAAATTAATTAATTAATAAAAAACCAATAATTTGTGACTTCTCTCTTTTTTTTTCTTTGTCAGCCTCACTTGAGGTTTGTCAGTTTTATTGATCTTTTCAAAAAAGATTTTTCTTTCTTTCTTTTTTTTTTTTTTGGCCATGCCACGTGGCTTGCGGGATCTCAGTTCCCTGAATCCAGGCCACAGCAGTGAAAGCCCAGAATCCTAACCACTAGACCACCAGGGAACTCACCTCATTGATTTTCTTTATTATTTTTCTGTTTTCAATTTCATTGGTTTCTGCTTGTTTTTTTTTTTATTATTTCCTTCCTTTTGCTTGTTTTGGGTTTTGTTTGCTTTTCTTTCTTTTTTTTTTTTAGGTGTTTGAGGTGCAAGCTTAGATTATTGTTCTGAGGCTTTTCCTCTTTTCTAACATACGCAGTCAGTGCTATAAAGTTTCCTCTCAGCCCTGCTTTAGCTGTGTCCCACAAACTTCAACATATTTTAATTTTCAGTCAGTTCAGTGTGTTTTCTTTCTTTCTTTCTTTCCTTCTTTCCTTCTTCCTTCCTTCTTTCTTTCTTTCTTTCTTTCTTTCTTTCTTTCTCTCTTTCTTTCTCTCTCTCTCTCTCTCTCTCTCTCTCTCTCTCTCTGTCGGGTCTTAGTTGCAGCATGCAGGATGTTTTAGTTGTGGCATGAAAACTCTTAGTTGTGGCATGTGGGATCTAGTTCCCTGACCAGGGGTCGAACCCAGGCCCCCTGTATTGAGAGCATGGAGTCTTAGCCACTGGACCACCAGGGAAGTCCCAGCTCAGTGTGTTTTCTAATTTCCTTTGAGACTTCCTTTTTTAATTACTTAGGAGAGTGTTCAGTTTTCAAGTGTTGGAGATTATTGATTTCTAGTTTGAGTCCATTGTGATTGGAAAACATATTCTGTATTATTTACATTCTTTTAAATTTCTTGAGGTTTATGGCCTTGGATATGGTTTATCCTGGTCCATGTTCCATGGGCATTTGAAAAGAGTGTGTGTTCTGCTGTCATTTGGTGGAGTAATCTATAAATGTCGATTATATCCTGTTGGTTGATGGTGTTGTTGAGTTCTTCTCTATCCTTGATTTTCTGTCTAGTTGTTCTACCTATTTGTTGATGGAGGAATTTGAAATCTCCAACTGTAATTGTGAGTTTGTTTGTTTCTTCTTTCAGTTCTTTCAGTTTTGCTTCACATAGTTTGCAGCTTTTCTGTATAATGTATACACATTTAGGATTGCTATGTCTTCTTGGTGGATTGGCCCTTTTACCACTGTGTAATGTCCCTCATATTACCATTATATAATATCCCATATTTTTGCTTACTATGTTCTTCCTTCCTTCCTGGTGTTCCAGGGTTCCTTCTTTTAGAGTTTCTTTTCTATTTAAAGAACTTCCTTTAGCCATTCTTTTGGGGAAGGTCTGTGAATGACAAAGTCTCTCAGTTTTCCTTCATCTAAGAATGCCTCATTTCCCCTTTATTCCTGAAGAATATTTTCACTTGATGTAGGGTTCTGGGATTACAGTTCTTTTCTCTTTCTTTCTTTCTTTCTTTCTTTCTTTCTTGCTTTCTTTCTTTCTTTCTTTCTCTCTCTCTTTCTCTCTCTCTCTCTCTCTCTTTCTTTCTTTTCTTTCTTTAGTTGCGTTGGGTCTTCATTGCTGCATGTGGGCTTTCTCTAGTTTCGTCACTGGGGGGCTTCTCTTCATGCGGCCTTCTCATTGCAGTGGTTTCTCTTGTTGTGGAGCTTGGGCTTTAGGCACACGGGCTTCAGTAGTTGTGGCACGTGAGCTCAGTAGTTGTGGCTCACGGGCTCTAGAGCGCAGGCTCAGTAGTTGTGGCACATGGGCTTAGTTGCTCTGCAGCATGTGGGATCTTCCCGGACCAGTGCTTGAACCTGTGTCCCCTGCATTGGCAGGCGGATTCTTAACCACTGCACCACCAGGGAAGTCCCCACTGAGCTTTTTATTTCGGTTGTATTTTTCTTTCTTTTTTTTTTTTGCAGTATGCGGGCCTCTCACTGTTGTGGCCTCTCCTGTTGCGGAGCACAGGCTCCAGACTCACAGGCTCAGCGGCCATGGCTCACGGGCCTAGCCGCTCTGCGGCATGTGGGATCTTCCCGGACCGGGGCACGAACCCGTGTCCCCTGCATTGGCAGGCGGACCTCTCTTATGTACCTTATATTCTGTTCATTAACAATTCCTCGGCTTCTCTGGTGACGCAGTGGTTAAGAATCTGCCTGCCAATGCAGGAGACATGGGCTCGAGCCCTGGTTCAGGAAGATCCCACATGCCGCAGAGCAACTAAGCCCATGCGCCACATCTACTGAGCCTGTGCTCTACGGCCCGTGAGCCACAACTACTGAAGCCCGCACTCCTAGAGCCCATGCTCCACAACAAGAGAAGCCACCACTATGAGAAGCCCGTGCACCAGAACGAAGACCCAACACATCCAAAAATAAATAAGTAAAAGTAAATTTAAAAAAACACAAAAAACAATTCCTTTAACTTTTTCCTTCAGAATATATCCAGAATCCAAACA